TTTCTCTCCCCGGTCTCATGTGACTCATTAGTGTTACAAGGTCTCAGGTGTGAATGGCATATCCAGAGGTTGTGTTTGGGAAATAGACGTATGAGTGCTGCCAGCATTGGTGCAGAGGTTGAAGGTGTGGGGGGTCAGCCTGTCGGTGCTCAGACCATATGCCGCACACTGCATCAAATTGGTCGTCCCAGGCTGTCATCTCAGAAGGAAGCCTCGCCCACTGAAGGCTCGTCAGTAGAGCACACGTGCGCTGATAGCGCTGAAGTGAACTAACCGGGAACCCTGGAGCAGGTTATGTTCAGAGAGCAAGTTACTATGGTTACTTACATACCCTGAAAGTAACCTCCGATTTTGGAACCAAAAGCTGAGGTTATCCGCTCGCTTATTCTCAAACATACCCGGGTATGTCACATAACCTGCTTTTTGGAATACCCCCCTGGCCTGAAAACATCTACATGCCAATATTTAGTTATAATTTATAGTGCTACCTGTTGGCAACAGGAAATGTCATGCTTTACACTAACTAAAATATGCAATGTCCAGTCTGCCCCGAATTTCTTGTTTGATAAGAGTCCTTGGCCTGAAGACATCTAAAGGTCAATATTCAGTTATTATCATAGCGCCACCTGCAACAGGATATATCGTGCTTTACACTAACTCAAACATACCATGTTCATTCTGCACCAAAGATAAGATGCTTGAGATAAGTTCTGGCCTGAAGACATCTACATGCCAATATTCAGTTATAGTCATAGCGCCACCAGCTGGTAGCAGGACGTTTGGCACATATAAATGACTTTGACATATCCCTCCTATATTTACCACTTTAAATGCATATTGCCCAACGTTCTATGTTTTCCTATGGCCATGGTGGTGTTGAGCCCGGGTGCGAGGGCCCTTTCAACACTGCTTGCAGCTTTAATTTCTTATTTGTTATTTTTATTTTTTTTTATGTTTATGTGTGAGACTGTGTCAATGTGATGTGTGACATCTGTGCAAACCAAATTTCCAAATGGATGGATAAACTGAACTGAACTAATATGTAATGTATATCTCTCGGTTGGATAAAGAATGCCAGTGTCGGGCTAGTAAAGTTGTGACATGAAGATTGTAATCAAGGCAAAGACAATTGCAGTGACATACAGGAGTCATACATTAGTCATGTGAGAGTCCGTTATTATTGATGCACAAACAAACTGTGTGTGCTCTCTGTGCACTGATGGCTATAACATTGTATTTTATACATTTGTGTAATTGTCAAAAATTAATTTCCTAAAAGTGTCATATAATGGATGTAGAATAATCATGTTTTGCAGTGAGGGTAATTTGTTTAGTCATTCTGAACCGTATAGTACCATATGCAGTCAAAGCAAGGCAGCTGGTTTAATGGTCTTTTGCCATATCCCTGTGGTCCTCTTTGGTATTGTAGCTTGACACCTTGGGCAACACCTTGAACTCTTTATAATGTTCTTCAAACCATTGCTGAACAATATGTGCAGTGTGGCAAGGTGAATTATCCTGCTGAAAGAGGCCACTTCCACCAGGGAACACCACTGTCATAAAGGGGTGTACCTGGTAATTAGCATGCTTCAAATATACTTCAGCATGAATAGCCAGACCCAGGGTTTCCCAGCAGAATATTGGCCAATGCATCACAATTCCTCCACCGGCTTGTCAAACTAAATAAATAAATAAATCTTTTTTTTTTTTGTAAGCATTAAAGATAAAAACTTGTGTAATGTCATGGTGTAACCACCTGTATAGCTCCCTATATAAATATATTAAGAGGCTTTTTGATTCCCTTTTTATTTTTTTGTATTTTTTTATTTCTTACCTTTATTAGGTTTTGCATTTAGATATATATTTAGACATTCTAAAAGACTACATTTTTTGTTAAGGTTTAGATTTTTGTTTTCGTTTGTTTGTTTGTTAAATAATCAGATTTTTGTATTTTTTTTATTTACTCTTTCCCATTCATGTCATATTTCTCACATTTTTGACCACTTTAATATATCCAAATCAGGTCCATTATTTTTTTATTTTATTTTTTTAGGTGTGTGTAGGTGTGTGTGTGTGTGTTCACATAGCTAATGTGACAAAAGTAACATTTCAAAATGTAATATTTTTAAGTCAAAAGTGACCAAAGAGGACCAGAGGGTTAAATTATTCTTTTTTTACATTGTAAGTCGTGACGTCAATCAACATTTAACGTTGTTCCCTGAGAGGGCAAAGTGATTAATTTCTGAGTATCTTGAACTCAAACAAAGTAATAATAATATATATATATACTTTTTTTTTTTAATGCGGTATGTTTGTGAATGGGTGTTTTATTAGATTCGAGAGAAACTGAGAAGACTGTTAACAGTGATGCAAACTATTTAACTTTTGCTGAAAATCGCCTTTTTTTTTATAAAAATAGGTCATTTGTGTGATTCATGTATATCCAATGAGTGATTGAAAACTCTTGCTACTTCATACTTCAAGTACAAAACCTTGCTGAACTTTGACAAAAAGCGATTTTTAAATGTTATAATAGTGATTTTATGATGTCTAAATATTCATCCAAAAGGAAAACTTTTTGGAAAAGAACATGTCATTTTCATTTTAAAAGCATTTGTTCCCCTTCTAGGGAACTCAACGCTGCGTCCTGGTGGACACTTTGGGGAAGGTACTGTCTGCGTGACCAGTACCTGAAGCATGCGTAAAACAACTCCAATCCTATTGGTCCACCTGGCCCATAACGTCATAGGCGGGTACCCAAAAGTATAAAAGGGGCACCTGCTGAATACGTCACCTAACTTTTGTTGTCTTCGGAGCCGTCTGTCTGTTGAACGTGTGTGAAACATCATCCTGGTGAGTCGAGCAGCGCTTTGAGGAATATGTGCCTCCGTGTTGGGATTCTAACACTTGAGGACATATTCTAACCTTTTCATCTTTGTCTCGGCGAACACACGCTCTTTGTGATGAATTACTTTAATGCATTCGGCTCACGTTTGTTCCTTTTCCGGAGGGATGCAGGGCAAAGTGTTCGCGTCTCGGGCCATTGCCGTGGCTAGGTTGTGGAGAGCCTCGCTGGGCATGGTTATACTGAATGCTCTGTGGAATGAAGCTGTTAGCTTTCTCTCCCAGGGTGCTTCAGTAGTCTAGAGTGGTTACGGGGAATTTTCCTTCCTGTGTTTAGCTGGGTGATAAGTGAACAGTTTCTGCTCAGAGTGTAGCCATCTGCGGATGATTATGCTCCAGTTCAGACTGTTTTGCAGTCTGAGGACAGCTATGTTCTAGCCAGGCGTTTATAACTGGGTTTAGTTCCCCTTGGGTACAAACTGTCTCAGGTAAGCGCTGAAGCCTTGTTTGGATTCTGCTGTGTGAGGATAGCTGTGTTCCAGCTTGGAAACTGCTCCCCCTTGTGGGGTCTTTAAGTAGTGGTCTCCTTGAGCCCTTGCCTAGACTGTGCTGTCTCCCCTGTTCGGTTTTTAGGTAGATGGCCCACTTCATGGCCTGGGCGAACTTCAGCCTTATCTGAGGGAAATGCTATTTGAGGATAGCTGTGTCCAGCCATCTAGTGTTATGGCCATGGCTTGCATCAGGCTTTGATCTGGACTATGGTTTTATGTGTTTGCTCCTTAGCGAATCATTACTATGGTCTGGACCTTCCTATTGTGAGCCTCTGGTCAATATATTGGTGAACGAAAAGCTAGCCTACTGTGGGACTGACAAGGATTGGGGACCTCCTTAGTACAGGTGCATCTCAATAAATTAGAATGTCGTGGAAAAGTTCATTTATTTCAGTAATTCAACTCAAATTGTGAAACTCGTGTATTAAATAAATTCAATGCGCACAGACTGAAGTAGGTTAAGTCTTTGGTTCTTTTAATTGTGATGATTTTGGCTCACATTTAACAAAAACCCACCAATTCACTATCTCAACAAATTAGAATATGGTGACATGCCAATCAGAGCCTAGCTATCTGAGGATAGCCATGTGCTAGCTCGGTGATTTCTCCCCTGCCTATGGTTTTTTTTTTCTCCTTGAGCCCTTACCTAGACAATGCTGTCTCCCCTCTTCTGGGTTGTAAGTAGACAGCCCACTCTCCGTGTTCTGGGTAGTTTCAGTCTGTTCCACGTCTGGTAGCCCTTCCTACACACATAGCTATCTGAGGATATCTATGTGCTAGCTCAGTGACTGCTCCCCTTCAGTAGCGGTCTCCCTGAGCCCTCGCCTAGATAGCGCTATCTCCCATGCTAGGGTTGTAAGTAGATAGTCCAATGTTGAGGTCTGGGCAGGCTCATAGGATGGCTTACCGGGGTTTTTCAGGCTAGCTGTGTGGGGCCAGCTACTGATAGCTCGGTGATTGCTCCCCTTTTTAGGGTTTTAAGTAGTGGTCTCCTTGAGCCCTACCTAGACAGTGATGCCTCCCCTGCTAGGGTTGTAAGTAGACAGCCCACTCTTTGTGGTCTGGGTAGTCTCAGTCGGTCCCCTTCTGGTAGCCTTCCTAGGTGCATGGCTATCTGAGGATATCTATGTGCTAGCTCAGGGACTGTTCCCCTTCCTAGGGTTTTTAAGTAGCGGTCTCCCTAAGCCCTTGCCTATAGTGTGCTATCTCCCCTGCTAGGGTTGTACCTGTAAGTAGATAGCCCACGCTTGTGGCATCATAAGAGGGCTTACTGGGATTTTTCAGGCTAGCTGTGTGGGACCAGCTGTGGATAGCTTGGTGATTTCTCCCCTTCTTAGCGTTTTAAGTAGTGGTCTCCTTGAGCCCTACCTAGACAGTGCTGTCTCTCCTGCTAGGGTTGCAAGTAGACAGCCCACTCTTGGTGATCTGGGTAGTCTCAGTCGGTCCCCTACTGTTCTACTATTCCTAAAATCCATGTTTATGGTAAGCATACACGCTTCTGTGTTCTTTCTAAAATCCACATTGTGTTAAGTGTGCACGCTAGGCACCCTGCACACTTTTCTAAAATCCTGTATGGTATGGGTTACACGCTCGACTTTGTTCCCATTCTCTGAGTTGGTTCTGGCCCCAGTTCTCCTTGGGCCCCACTCCACTTATGTATCTCTGGCGATACTTCTGAAGAGGGCTTCCTCTCATTAAGAGAGTCATTCTTTGGTACATGGCTATCTGAGGATATCTATGTCCTAGCCCAGGGACTGCTCCCCTTCCTAGGGTTTTTAAGTAGCGGTCTCCCTGAGCCCTTGCGTAGAGTGTGCTATCTCCCCTGCTAGGATCATAAGTAAATAGCCCACTCTCTGTGGTCTGGGCAGCTTCACAGGTAGGTTTACCAGGGGTTTTAATGTTTGGTCCTGTAGCCCTTTCCTAGGGATATAGCTATCTGTGGATAGATATGTGACTGCTCCCCTTCCTAGGGTTTTTAAGTACCGGTCTCCCTGAGCCCTGGCTTAGACAGTGCTATCTCCCCTGCGGGGTTTAAGTAGATAGTCATTCCCTTGGTCTGGGCAGCTCTTTAGGAAGGTCCTTTTCATAAGACCCTTTGGATATAGCTATCTGCGGATAGCTGTGTCCTTGCTGGGATTGTTGGTGGTAATCTTAAGAACTCCTCTAGGCTTCCAGCCTCTCAGTGGTCTTATGTATCTGGCTACTATTGCTCACATAGCATAGCTATCTGAGGATGGCTGTGTTCTTAGCTAGGTTAGGGTATTCAACCTTATCTGGTATCGGGCTCCCTCTTTTTACCAAGTTATGTGAGCGGTGAGCGGCCCGAGGCATCAATGGCTTGGCCCCTTTCTGAGGAAAGGTTTGGTGTATGTCTGTCACCTCCTTGGTGCTCTCTCACCAGGTGGACAGGCATGCGCCTCGGCATGGCGTGATTGGATATCGTTCCCCAAAGTGTCCACCAGGATGCAGCATTGAGTTCCCTAGAAGAGGAACGTCTCGGGTTACTCATGTAACCATGGTTCGCCGAGAGGGAACGAGACGCTGCATCCCTTTGCCATGCCTTCGGCCTGCCTGTCTCCTCAGACAACTGAGTTGGTGACGTATTCAGGAGGTGCCCCTTTTATACTTCCGGGTACCTGCCTATGACGTCACGGGCCACGTGGACCAATAGGATTGGAGTTGTTTTACGCATGCTTCAGGTACTGGTCACGCAGACAGCGTTCCCCAAAGTGTCCACCAGGACGCAGTGTCTCGTTCCCTCTCGGGGAACCATGGTTACATGAGTAACCCGAGACATTTTTCACCAGGTGGCAGAAATCTTCCTCTTACTCATGTCACATTTTCCACAAATTATCTCCATGAACTAAAATCACAAAAATGCAGATCTTCTTTCAAGTAAATTTTACACAAAATATTGTCATTTTATGCAAAATATATGAAAATGTGAATAATTCTGAATAATTTTGAGGCAAATACATAAAAATACCATAAATCCCACCAAAACTGCTTAATTAAAAAAAATAGCAATATTATATTGCTTGGATGGACGCAACCTCATCAGGGGTGAAGAAAAAAAAAATTGTTTGCATCCCTCCTAGCACAAGCTAATTATTGGGCTTTTGGCCTCATCTTCTGTTAATGCAGACAAGCATGTTATGTCTTGCATGTGCAGTCAAACATGATGTCAGAAACAACTGAATGTGTGAGTAAATAACCTCATTTAGATACAATTTAATAATTACAGAGGCTAAGTCATTGGCTTGCAGAAAGTTTTCTTTGAGGGCTAGTATTAGAAGATAGAATATACGGGGGGGCACCAACATTGCACTTTGATCATAGGCACTCTGATTGGTCTGCGGCTACACAGCATGTCATCGGTTTGTGGTTTGTCCCTCCTCAGACCACTGTTGGTAATCATTATCTTAGATTATTTTGGTGTATTTAAAGGGGTTCTATTATGCTCTTTTACAAAGTCTTGATTTTGTTTTGGGAGTGTACTAGAACATGCTCTCATGCTTGATGGTTCGAAAAAACACATTATTTTTCACATAATTTACATTATTAAAATACTTTTCTCCTTAGCCTGGCACAAATGGCTCGATTAATTCCGGGTTTGATGAAGGCCTGCCTTCCGAAAAAACGAAGTGTGTTGTGATTGGTTAGCTGTCCCAGTGCGTTGTGATCGGCGAACAGCTTAGACGGTGTTTCAGTACTGCCATGCCCCTTGCCAAAGCAGCAAGTTCCGTCTACTCCGGTATAGTTAAGGATGGCGTCAATAATGCCATATCAGTTTGAGCCGGATTCAGACCCTGAGAATATTGAACAAGAGGATCGCGCAGAACCTTTGCACGCACGGATATTGTAAGACATATTAGAGTGATAATGTTATTGTCGTTGTTTTTTTGTGGATAAATCACTTTTTATATATGATGTCAACAACCGCTTAAAAATAAGTGCATTTACTATGTACAGATAAGTGCAACGGTAATGTGTATTATGTTTATTGTTCTTTAATTCTAACAAGAATTGCAGTGAAACTGTTATACAGTTGAATTTATTTATACCATAGTCTCATAATTGAAGTGTAAATTCTGCAACTTACATCATTGTCCAGTATTGTACTGTCAGCAATTTATAAAAAAAACCCAGCATTTCTTCTACATGGCGAAAACTTGACACTACAGAAGCTCTTCTTCTTCTTCATATTCTCTGATGCTCTAACTCTACAGCAGCATGTCTTCCTCGTCGTCGTCTTGTCTGATGCACTCAACCAAGCGTTTTAACCATGACCTCGCCCCTCCCCACCCCCCAAACATTTGAATTTCCGTAGGCAGGAATTATTTTAATGATATTCTGGGCCGCTTTGTGACATCACAATACCCCGGAAAACAACGCTGTAGTCCAAATGAGCAGTTCGTTGTAATTCTTGAAAAGGGATTTTTTTTTAACTAAATTTATCCCTTTGGAGTGGATTTTGAGATTTGTAACTTTGTAGATATTTTTTTATGCCCAAACATACACACTACACATCGACTAAAATTCAAAAAGTGATAAAGCATAATAGGACCCCTTTAAGCCCTTGTGTTTTAGTTGTGTTTTATAAGTCGTTGATCATGTTCTTGCTTTTGGTCAGGGTTGCCTTGAGGTTCTAGTTTTGCCCTTCGTGTTGTGTTCACATTCATGTAGGCTATTTGCCTGTTTCCTGGCTTGGATTATCTGTGTTTTGCCTATTGTCATTAAGGTTGTGTGTGCAAGTGTCCAAACTCGGTCCTGGAGGGCCACTCTCCTGCAGTTTAGCTTCAGTTTGCCTCAACACACCTGCCTGGAAGTTTCTATTATGCCTAGTAAGACCTTGATTAGCTGGTTCAGATTAGTTAAATTGGGGTTGTAGCTAAACTCTACTGGTTAAAAACTGATAAAACTCAAATGTCTGTGTAATTTATTTTAAGTACTTTTTTTATATTGTTCTAATGAAAAATTATGATTTCTGGCTTAAACCTGTTTCATTCAGTTTGGATAAAAGCAAATAACACTCCCCACTAAATGAATTAATGAATTAATTATACTTTTGCCAGACACAAGAGTGTTGATGTGCAGAACACTTACTGCATATAGCTTTACTGACTAGGTTTATTCATTTTTTTTCTGGTATTTAATTTTATTTCTGTCAGGACCACTATCGTCAAAATAATTTGACACTTTGCAAACAGTTTGAATTGGCGGTATGGTTCTGTTCTGGGTAAAAACTCATCATGAATGAGCAGGGAGAGCAACAATAACTCCCTACACTCTTAAAAGAGATTGGTCCTTTAGAGTTCAAAAAAGAACTTTAAAGTGCAAATATGAAACTTCTAGCTATCAAAAAGGTTCAAAGTTGAACTTAAAGGTTCTATAATGATCCACTGGTTATATGGCAGTTATTTTTAGAACCTTTGTTGTGGTAAAAGGTTCATATTAGAACCTAGCATATTTAAGGTTCTTTTATGAACCTTTTCTAAGACGTACTGTAAAGACTAGACTGAGTACAGTTAGAACACCATCTGCTTGTTACATTAGTAAGTTACTAATTCACATACTCGGTATTAATTAATTTACTCTTATTCAGTTACTAATTGTGATGTCAGTTGCAGTTGTGGCTTCCATCAGTTTAACCAAAATGTTTAGGCCTTGAGTTAATAATAATAATAATAATTAATTACATTTATATAGCTCTTTTCTAGGCACTCAAAGCACTTTACATTGTCAGGGGGTATCTCCTCATCCACCACCAGTGTGCAGCATCCACCTGGATGATGCAACGGCAGCCATAGTGTGCCAGAATGCCCACCACACACCAGCATATTGGTGGAGAGGAGACAGAGTGATGAAGCTAATCAGTAGATATAGAGTTGATACAGTGTGTTTTGTCTGTACCCATGACCACCTCACATATATCTAAATTGCACAATAACCTTTAGTGCACCATGTTGTTGTCAATTTTTAGAACACAAATTAAAAATCACAAAAATCAAAGTTCAGTTTTATGTTCGTAAATGAACAAGAAGCTATTATGTGTTAAATTGAGAGGGTGAAGTGAAATTCTTACCCCTAAAAATAGACATTGTTCAATAGGCTATCTTCATATTTTACAGCCGTACATCCTTTAAATTTTCCCCATATCACATTCAAACTTCAAATCTCAGATAGCCTACTAATTCAGCTCAGAACATGACAAGTGACAAAAGCGAATTATTTTAAATGAATGTGAATAATTTTGAGAATAAAAACAAACAAAACAAAAGCATTTAAACCAGGGCAAAGGTTTCTGGGCTTAATACGCAAGTTGCGTAACGCAACGCAAAGCACTGAATCTGTTTCGCGCTAGATCAGTGGTCGCATGGAAAAACCGTTTACAAACATTCAAGCGCAAGCAGCGGCACTGAGTGGAGCAGCATGAATATCTGAGGTAAGACAACAAATTCACTGATTTGCATGAACAGGAAAGCTAAGAATCACAATGATCAGAAACATAGTATGCCATATTCAATTTAACAAATTTTAAATTAAAGGTCTCAATGGTTGCTGCTGTCCTGCTGTTTCCACTTCTATTAAAGGAGAGTCTGAGATCTCTTTATGTCATCAGTGAGGTGAGTGTATTTGCATCCAAAATATCTAAATTTATATTTTTTTATTTTTCAACCCCTTCTCTTGGTTATGATTTCTTCTAACCATTTGTTTATGGGGTTATTTTGTGGAACTGTTTGTGTCCATGCAGGTTCCACTGTAACAGCAGCAAGAATTAATAAAGGGAATATACAAACTAAAATTCTGTCATTTTCTCACCATGTTGTTTCAAACTTGTATGACTTTATTTTGTTCTGTGAAAGAAATTATTTTCAAGAATGTCACTGAAAATCACTGACATGTTATTTTGGACCCGAGTGATTTTCATCAAATGGACATTCTTTAACATTCTTAACAATATTTTATTTTCTGTTCTGCAGAAGAAAAAGTAATGCAGGTTCGGAACAACATCAGGGAGAGTAAACGACGACAAAATATCCCTTTAATGGGGTCATATTCTTTTGATTACAATTTGTTATATTTATAATTAATTTTATATTGTTATTATATTGTTATATATATATATATTGTTATATAAAATGAATTTTCTCACTGATATCAACTTATAATATTAGTAAGGGATTCTTGCAACCAAAACACTCATAATTTAGTTTTTCTTGACCACTTGCCACCCTCTCTATTATCTTTTTTATATTAATAATATAGTTTACACTGCCTCATCTTTCTTTTCAAAGCCTCTATTACATTGTGACAGGTTCAAAAAAAGTCAAAGATACACTATGGACACACTTTTTTTTTATCATAATAAAATAATAATAATAATAATAAATTTTAGCTTGCTTCAGAAACCCTCCACCTTCCCCAGCTCCACCTGTATAGATCTGCTACGAGGTGATTAATGTACGCTATCTATTCCACCAAGACCAAATACATTAACATTGTCATGTACATTACCATGCCAATCCCTCCGAGAGTTGTCATGACAGAAATATTGTTATAGTATGACATTATTTTCTCCTTTTTCTCTTTTAGAAATAATGATGGAAAGAGAAGAGGAGGTCTGTGAAGTAGATGATGTGAACGCAGCTCTACACTTCATCTTCAACACTGAATATGCTTCAAAGTTGAGAGACACTCTGACATTCATTGAAAACTTCTTAATGTATCATAATGCCAAAACCAATATGCCACCCAAAATGGTCAGTTTTTTTTTTTTGATTAGATGAATGTATATGTATATAAATGCATAATATTGATTGTTGTTTATTCATTTATGTGTTTGTTGGTTTGTTTGTAATGCATATTTATGTTTGATTGTTGTTTATTTATTCGTGTTTGTTGGTTTGTTTGAAATACATATTTATGTATTAAACAGTTTATGGATAATCATGGCGTTCTGTCTATATAGTGAAATTGGATTTGTAATGTATAATAATAATAATAATAATAATAATGTTATTGCTATCTAGAAAAAGGTTCAAAAAGGAACAGATGAGGGTCATTAATGCACCTTAAAGTGAAGGTTCCAATTTGAACCTTTTCAAAAAGTTTCAAAAATGAACCTTTAAGGTTCCCCCACAGTTGCAATCTCCAGGAACCTCAAAAGGTTCATTTTTGAACCTTTTCTTCTAAGAGTGTAGGGTAAACAGAACAGAACCGAATGCAGATATCATTAATGTTCTTAATGACATGTTAGTGTAACAACAATATTAAAGATAAAAGTAGTCTGATTCAACAAGGTATATTAGAAAGCCAAGTCCTGACTGTGACAAAAGGAGGAGTTGGGGATAGAGGAGGGTAACTTGCCGTGATATGAGTTGTATTTCTATAGGTAGATGTGGATCAGCTGAGAGTCAGCTGATGCAAGCATGACTCGCGTGACCTGCCAGAACTAACGCTACGCTTGATTTCTGTCAGGACCAATATCATCAAAATGATTGACACTTTGCATACAGTTTGGATTGGCGGTAAGGTAATGTTCTGGGGAAAAAAAACTCCAGGCTCTTCCATGCAGCCTATCATGAATGAGCAGGGTGAGCAGCAATAACCCCCCAAACAAACCATAGGCTGACACCCCCCAACCACAAGCTTATGGCAAATCTGAAAGGGAGAAGCATGTCCTTCTGAACTTTCAGAGGCTGGGGCAGCATGTCTCTGGAACAAATTTGCTTAAAAGGGAATGTCTATAAATAATTACAATTAATTATGATTAAATATATAGTTCAGTCATGAAACTCTAGATGGCGCATTCTACTAAGCATGTATTGATCATATAACAGCAGTGGCATTAGCAGCAGCAGCAAGCACTTTTCTTAGTTCATGTATGTGAGAATACAACGTCAAGCATCGCAGATTTTAGAACAGTAAAGTGAATTGGGGATTACCTTATTTGCCCGAAATCTCCAATGCTTTTA